TCCAGAGGCAAAAAAGGACTATATCAGAAAACCACGTCCATCAGACAGCACTTCCGTGCATCGCTGATGCTTCAGAAGAGAAGAACTAAAACAACCAGCTATGAATAACTGAAAATGAGATTGATTATCTCACACAGTAAGAAGTCTCAAAGTAGATCGTTTCCAGAGTTGACTAATTCTGTGGCTCAAAAGGACCGGAAAAGCTCAGGCCTCAATTCTGCCATCCTCAGCTTGCTGGCAAGCTCCTCTCATAGGAGGGAAGTCAGCATCAAAGCCTCAACAACAGTCTCATCTATCCTCGTCCACTGGCAGGGACGGGACCTTCTATTCCATTCCACTCATCTGATTATATTAAATTAGGTATTAGATGTGAAGCACTTTAAAAATGCCTGGCACATAATAAATATTATGTCAGCTTTGCTCTTATTATTATTGGCTTTTTTTTTTTTAAGAAGTGAGAGTCTCTGCAGGAAGCTTCATATCTCACTAGCTAGGAGTGGAATGCATGCCCCAAATTAAGCCAATCACTGGCAAGGGCAAACTCGATGAGTGCCTTAGACTAACCACAATTCACTCTGTCTGAAACTGCAGATACTCATTCCCTGGCTGCAAGGTTTTTGGAGGAGAAAGATTCTCTAATATAAAGCAGAGATTCTTCCAACAGGGCAAAAGGTCAAGAATAGTTTAAGCTAGGAAATTCATTGTATCCCAGGTATCCCAGCCATCCCTGCATCTTTTCTTCCCAAGGAGCCACAGGGGAGTCGAAAGGCACACCTTAGGGCTTGTTTCCATAACGCAGAGAAAGCCATCTGTGGTGGGGGGACTAAGCCAACTCTGGAAAAGCAGGAAGGAGAGAGGCACACAGACACATCTGCCAGTGCTCTGGTCTTGGGAGCTTGCCAATCATGAGATAAATTTCCCCACCCTGCATGGTTCAGCTTAAAAGTCAGATTTCCTCTCTTGAGATAGTGTGAGCTGGATCTGCTTTACTTGCAAAATAATCCTAAACTGATGATGCCAGAAGGGTAATCTTAAAGGTACACAACAGCACAGGTTTTGGGAATTAAAACCTGAGACTCAATACCTCTTAACTGTCTGGGCAACCGTGGACAAATTACCACTCTGAAATGTCCTAAATACATACTTATATTCAAACACGTACATGCATATGCAAGCATACAGAGCTGAATTTACTAGAAAGGTAGACAATTTAAAGCTCTAACTACCAACAGTTATCAGTCAAGTTCATGTGACTCAAGCTAATTTCTTATTTACATCATTAAATGAATCCCACTTTTGGCTCATATCTGGAAGGCATTAAATAAATTCAAGTTTTCTTGCTGGCCACTGATTCGCTAAAGGCAATGGCCAAGAGAAGTCTTCAAAGAGTACATAGAAGGGTCGGCGCTGTGCCATAGCGCCTCCACCTGCAATGCCAGCATCCCATATGGACACTGGTTCGAGTCCCAGCTGCACACCTTCTGATCCAGCTCTCTGCTGCGGCCTGGGAAGGCAGTGGAGGATGGCCCAAGTGCTTAGGCCCCTGCATCCATGTGGGAGACCCAGAAGAAGCTGCTGGCTCCTGGCTTCAGATCGGCGCAGCTGGTGCCATTGGAGCCATCTGGGGAGTGATCCAGTGGATGGAAAATTACTCGCTCTCTCGCTCTCTGCCTCTGCGTAACTCTGTCTTTCAAATTAATAAATAAAATCTTTAAAAAGAAGTTCATGGAAAATTCTTGTTATGTTAAACTTATGCCTGGATTTCAAAATATTTTTGCACCAAAATAAACTTATCTTTTGATTCCATTTTCCATATACTTTTTGAAGCTCCTTCATTTATCATGCAGTTCTTCCTTAGTTCTAAAAGCTAAATTTATGATTTTACTATCTCTATACAGTATTGCTAGTACTTTTCTTCCCTTTTAAATCTGGAAAGTATATATATATACACATATGTGTGTGTGTGTGTGTGTATATATATATATATATATATATTCACCTCCTGAAAACAGAACCTCATCATTTCAAAATATGACCTCCACAACGGAATCTGATCATTTTTAAAGGATTACATAATGTGTCAATTATCTTTGAACCCAAGCAACTTCAGATTCCTATTTAGCATGCCTTCCAAAAGATAAATAATTCTCTCTCTGCAAATAAGAAACTAGAGGGAGGAAAGAGAGTATTTTGTTATCAAAAATTATTCAATGGCTCCTTATTAACCAAAAACTGTTTTTCCCCTTTTGTTATTCTTCTCACATGACCTGTTCCTCCAGGTTAATAACTGAGAGCTACGTTGGATCAATAGGAACTTTCAAATCATTAATGAATATGGAGGCTACAATAACATAAAGTGAAATCTAAAATTAGACATGAAAAAACTTTAAAATCTCTAGACTGGCATTATGGCATAACAGGTAAATGATGCTGGCATCCCATATGGATGTCATGACTGTTCATGTCCTGGCTGCTCCACTTCCAATCCAGCTCCCTGCTAATGGCCTGAGAAAAGCAGTACAAGATGGCCCCCAGATGCCTGGGCCCCTGCCATCCATGTGGGAGATCAGAAGAGGATCTTGGCTTAGGCCTGGCCCAGCCCCAGCCACTGCAGCCATCTGGAGAGTGAAGCAACAGGCAGAGGCTCTACCTCTCTCTGTCTCTCTCTCTCCTTCTCTCTGTAACTCCAACTCTCAAATAAAGAAATAAATCTTAAAAAAAAAAAGGCTTTAGCTGGTGCCACGGCTCACTAGGCTAATCCTTCACCTGAGGCGCCGGCACCCTGGGTTCTAGTCCCGGTTGGGGCGCCGGATTCTGTCCCGGTTGCTCCTCTTCCAGGCCAGCTCTCTGCTGTGGCCAGGGAGTGCAGTGGAGGATGGCCCAAGTGCTTGGGCCCTGCACCCGCATGGGAGACCAGGAGAAGCACCTGGCTCCTGGCTTCAGATTGGCGCAGCGCGCTGGCCGTAGCGGCCATTTCAGGGGGGAACCAATGGAAAAAGGAAGACCTTTCTCTTTCTCTCTCTCTCTCTCTCACTAACTCTGCCTGTAAAAAAAAGAAAAGGAAAAAAAAAAGGCTTTAAAAACCTCAAGGTAAGCCATAAAAAGATGAATAATTAAAAGATAACTAGTATTTATTAGAAATTCTATATATTTATAACTTTAAATGATTTTTTAAATTTTCTCCTGGAAATGTCACATCTGATATTAGAACCCATGTTCAAAACAGTTCCCAAGCCAAGTTAGAGCCTTTGGAGCTAGCTGGTGTTCAAAACTACAAATGAAGACTTAAAAAAATCACCATTTCCCAGTGGGGAAAACGGATTCTAAAACGAGTTACAACCAAACAAAAATATTTCAAGAAAATGAAGGTAAATGGTTTTGGGTTTTTATTTATCATGCTCCTACCCAGTATAAGCCAGATACCACTGAATGATAGTCACAAAATCAAATAATGGTAAGATATTAAAATTTCTAAAATTATCTAGACCAGAACATCTTAACGTAAGTTTCAGGTCAGATGTGATACTTCGTGTGTGTGCTTATTATATACATTTTTCTTGCAATAACATTCACAGTTTGCTAATTTCAGAAGTATCCACAAGATTTAAAAGAGGTGGAAAACCATTACTAATCAATAGCCAAACCTGGTATAGAAAAGACCACCAGATAAGAGACTGGTGACCCATTAACTGAAAATGAGTCTGATATTTCCAATCTCAAAAAAAAAATCAAACAGCTATATTCTAGTAATGATCTTTAGTGAAGTTTGAAATTAAAAGCCAAAGAGAGACTAAGTTTTAAAAACATTACCTTCCTAAAGTAGAAATTAGGAAGAAGAAAGATTTTCAAAAATACATGCAGGAAATTACAAAATTAAAAACATAATTTTTTTTTTATTCAGTATTTTCTCTTGTTTTACCCTTTGGCTAAACTGGATTTTAAGTTGACTGGAAGTGTAAAAGTAGAGGTGACATTAACATACAAGTAGAACTATAAAAGATCAAATTTAACAATACAGTAACAGTGATGCTTCTGATTAAGTACCCTATGTGACAAATGTGGTATTACTCAGCTACGGCATGCGCTACTCAGAAAACAAACAATACGTCCACAGACAGGCTTTATTCTTAGGTTTGACTAATCACTAAACTATTTTAATTATCACTTATTTCTAACTCAACTAAATTATTAAAATGTCTGTTTTTCTCCCTATATAGGAAAAGCTTTAAATATATAATTATATTTCATTAATAGAAACCTGAATAAGGCATCAAAAATGTTTCTAAGTGTGAAAACACACATAATTTACTATACACCAAAAATCTAAGATATTTCATACAACAACATGCATTCAACAGAACATAGACACCACTCTTAAGGAGTAAACATTTTACTATATTTTGAAAAGTGACATATTCTTTTGGATTTTATAAAGGTAAATATTACATTGATAAAGCCTATTTTGAAATATGCAGGATGAGACAATAAACAGTTATGACAACCAATCCTAAAACATCAAAATGAACATTTTAATATTTCACTTTGAAAAATGTAATCCCAAAGGTTTCTTTTTTACTAAAAAGATTTAGCTATGAATAATAACTTACAACTGATTAAAAAATGGTAATTTCTCTTGGTATAAAGGTTTTATAATCTTAACAGCTCTACTAATCTAGTTTGTTTTTAAAAATATGAAAATAAGAGAAATTTTAGTCTTTTTATATAATACTAATTATATGCATAATTCTGGAGAATTGATTTATGTTATAACAGAGTAGCCACTTTTATAGTGTGGAATCGAAAGTAAAGAAAATTTTTCTGATTCGTTTACAAGTAAATTTAGCAAGGAAAACTAAAATAATCTTTCCCTTCCACTCAAAATCCTGAAATTCATTCTGTAACTTTTTTAGGCAGCATTTCACATAAAATCTTTAGCAGAAAATGAACATGTGTTTTTGGCATTCAAACATTAAAAAGTTAAAAGCTTTCTAGCAACTTACCTTCTTTTGATACCAGACTATAGCATCAGTGACTTTGGACGCCATTTATTCCACTAACATTACACGTCCGTCATTTTAGGCTGTGTAGGAGAGAAAAACATGCACGTGACTTTACTTCTACCTTCCAAAAGGAGACTGAACAACTTGCACACATAGCACTCTAGTTACTTGCAGAGCAAGGGGTGTATGACTGTACTTATATTACACCCTTCCTCATTACTATTTTAGCAACAGGTTCTCTCAAGTAAACAAAAATCAGTTGCCATAATAAAAGGAAGTTCTTTTCGAATGAATCTAACACTTGAGTTTCCCTACAAACTAAGTTAAAATGATTTTTTTTCTTAATTTAACCTTTTAAATAAATTTCAGAATCTCCCAGGTTCTATCGAGAATTTTTCACCTACAAATTCACTTACAATAGAAAGCAATTCATTCACTCGGTTACAGATCACTTTTGCTGTAGTTTCTAGCAGGGACTAGTGTCAGTTACTGCTGATAAAGGATGGCTTGACAGATGAGCCAAATTCATAACCATACTTACTTCTTGCCCCCCTCAGTAAACACAAAATTGACCTAAAATCAAATAACCAGAGAAGTCTAGAATTTAAGATAAAAACTAAGCCAACTTTAGAGTTAATTACAAAGGAGTAATTACTATTAAGGACTTCCTAGGTATCATGGTTGATGGGTGGTGGTACTTAGAGATTTACCAGATGACCTCATAAGCATCTTTCTTGTGTTTGACTAAAACAGTACTGCATACTAAATGTAAAGGCTCCTTAACCCTAGAAAGGATTTTAAACTGATTCCAGTTAACTCTAGAATGCCTTTCTAGACATAAGATGTCACGGGCATGAGTGTACCTAGTGGCAGGGATAAGCCTAAAACTTGCTTAAAAGCAAATACTGGCCCTAGAGCTCATAACAACCGAGGACCACCCAAGACCACACACAATCTTAGGGAAATGGGAGGAAAGGGCACCCTGTTGAGCCAATCCTAGCACCTGCACAGCTGAAAGTGTAGAAATGATACTGCAACAGTAAACAGAAACCCCCCAGCTTGTACCCATCTTGGAAGCATGTATGCTTCTGGAACACGTCAGCATGCAAACATAGTGAGAATTATTATCAGTAGATTCAAACGTTCAGATGATCAGTTTCTAAAAATTTAAAGCAGATTTACTTAATGCCTGCATTTTTGACAGCACGACAGATCAAACTACTTTCCTAAGACATTACCTTTCCTAACATATGATTTCATTTTTAAACTGATCAAATTCGAGCAAATGATGTTTTGAAATCCCTGCCAAATACCCTGACATAATGGAAAAAAGAGGATCAAAAGAACTGGCTTCGAATATCGGCTCCACTACCTATTATGTAATATTGAAGAAGTCACTTAATCTCTCTGAACCTCAGTTCCTTTCAGTTATAGGAATAACTGCACCTGCTCATCCCACAGGACTTTTGTGACCAATCAATAAGATATCTACCACAGTCATACAGTAGATATTCAACCATAGTTGTTTTTAACTATGTATTTTATCATTAATTTTTATATTTAAAAATTCCCTAATCTAGGAACTGGCAAGTATTTGTATTTCCTTTTTTAAACATGGTAAGCAGTTTACAGAAGGATACAAGTAATCAGTTTCTGTTGACATTGAGAACAAAAATAGCTACTTCATTACCATAAGATTGCAACCTCAGTTCTCAGCTATATTCTCAACTTTTAAGTTTTTTAAAGTTAACCTCCACTGAAGTTTCTCAGTTAAGTGTGGCTCCTTTTATTTCTCTCACCAGGTTTTTTTTGGGGAAGCTTTCTTTACTGACTTAAACTCTCCCATTTTGGTTGTTTTGTCCCGGAGGCCTCTGTGGGTAACACATTAAGTCTAATCACATTGGATCCTAAAGGTTTTCCCTAATAATTCTGCTAGGGGGCTGCTCATTATAACATTATACCTTCATTATACTTGTTTGTCAGGACAATTGTGTATGCTTTTCAAAGTGGTTATAATCCATTTTCCTCAATGCAAAGGACAAAAAAAGGTAAAGAAATAGGATAACTTTTCACTTACCTAACTTCTTTCACTTTACCCAAATTATATACCAAAATAAAGATACTCACTCCTAATCTCTCAAGTCTGAACTACATATTTCAGATACAAAATATGAAAGATTTTTTTTCTCCCAGACACCACTAAATATGTGAAATTCTTAGTTTTTTTTTTTTTTTTTTTTTTAATTTTTGACAGGCAGAGTGGACAGTGAGAGAGAGAGACAGAGAGAAAGCTCTTCCTTTTGCCGTTGGTTCACCCTCCAATGGCCGCCGCGGCTGGCGCGCTGCGGCCGGCGCACCGCGCTGATCCGATGACAGGAGCCAGGAGCCAGGTGCTTTTCCTGGTCTCCCATGGGGTGCAGGGCCCAAGCACCTGGGCCATCCTCCACTGCACTCCCGGGCCACAGCAGAGGGCTGGCCTGGAAGAGGGGCAACCGGGACAGAATCCGGCGCCCCGACCGGGACTAGAACCCGGTGTGCCGGCGCCGCTAGGCGGAGGATTAGCCTAGTGAGCCGCGGCGCCGGCCAGTATATTTTTATAAACTTCGGCAAACCAATCTACACTCAGAAATAAGTTTCAAATAATCAAAGAGTATCCTAGGTACATAAAGTGTCCTTAATATACTACATTTTTAAATTTGGTTTTTCCAGAAATAGAAATCCAATCAATCTTGTTTAAAAGAAAATCATTGTTCTTCAGTAATGGTAAGGTTTGCTCTGCAAACTCATTTAATAGTTTTTCCATTGTGTCAACAACTTTTCAGTAACACCGGGTAGCTCATATCTATTTTTAAAACGGGCTTTACAGCACAGTGAAATAGATTTCAGAACCAGACATCTGACAAAGAACACACAAAATACCTAAATTTCATATATATGTATAAACAACAAAAACTAAATGATGACATTAAGTTTAACTTACAGCAGGAGGAAGTAGCATGAAAGGCTTACTAGGAACTTTAAATAAAGGATCCTAATCTTTCTTCACAAATTGATTTGTTACAAGGTTAAGCATAAATGACATGGAAATAATCCAATCCCAAGATCAGAGGACTAATATTTAAATCTTGCTATAGGCAGTTACTATGATATTTTTCTCCATCATGATGCCTTATCAAAACATTTGGATTATTCTTTACTATATCAATGTAAATGTAAATGTAAATGTATCTTCTTGTAGAGAAATACCAAAGACCAGGGTGAAGAGAAAAGATGACTATGAAAGAGATGTGTGTTCAGTCTGCTTTTATAGAATTCCACCATCAAACATCAACAATATCTAGGAATATTCTTGGTATAGGTCTAGTCTAAGAAGTTGTCCTATTTTTAACCATTCCTTGTTACAAAAACTTAGTATATCAAATGCTATACACTGTTACAATGTCCCTCTCTCATCCTGAAACAAATTCACTGTTCCAAACTGGATTCTTAACATGCTCAGAAAACAACTGATATCCACCCCTTTTACTTTATTTTTAAGATTTTATATATTTATTTGAGAGGTAGAGCTACAGACAGTGAGAAGAGACAGAGAGGTCTTCCTTTTGTTGGTTCAGTCCCCAAATGGCCACAACAGCTGGAGCTGTGCTGATCTGAAGCCAGGAGCCAGGAGCTTCTTCTGGGTCTCCCACACAGGTGCAGGGGCCCAAGCATTTGGGCCATCTTCTACTGCTTACCCAGGCCATAGCAGAGAGCTGGATTGGAAGAAGAGCAGCCAGGACTCGAACCAGTGCCCATATGGGATGCTGGCACCGCAGGCAGAGGATTAACCTACTGCGCCAAGGCATCAGCCCCCACCCCTTTTACTTTGCTTGTGCTTTTATTCCCATTCCATCCTTTTCTCCACCTATGCATTCTTCTAAATCAGTTCAAATCCTACCTTCTCCAGGACTGAAGCTTTTTTACAGGTACTAATTTAGACTAAAACATGTTGAAGCCTGATCTCTCTCCAGCAATGATCTGTATTAATAAATCTACCATGTAACTAAAAACGCAAAGTAACGAAGTCACACAGATCATCTTATCATATGTAAACACCACTGAAGGAAAAAGGGGCATCATTTTTTGTGTCTCACTAAGTAACCAGAGCACTGTAATATACATAGAGGAAGCAGAGCAGAGACACAGCAATGACTAAACATCCTAAGAGCTATGTTCCCCCAGAGGCCAGCACTGTGGCCTAACGGGTGAAGTCACTGACTGCAATGACCCCAAATAGGCACTGGTTTGAGTCCCAGCTGTTCCACCTCTCATCCAGCTCCCTCTAACACATGCGGCAGAGCAGTGGAAGATGGCCCAAGTACTTGGGCACCTGCACCCACATGGGAGATCCAGATAAAGTTCCTGGCTCCTGGCTTCCATTGTGGCCACTTGGGGAGTGAACCAGCAGATGGAAAATGTCTCTATATCTCTGCCACTCCCTCTCTCTAACTCTTTCAAATAAATAAAAATAATTTGACCTGAATAAATTTGTGTTCTCTGGGCCTCAGTTTCTCACCAGTGCCTCTAGCCAAACATTCCACAAGCAACAATCCCAACAAACTAACAAGGTTCTTCTGAATTCCTTTACAAACAAACCCCAAAATTTAATCAAGTCAGTATTACATAGATGGATTTTAACATAGAAGAGACTGTCAGGCAAAATGTAAGTTTATTTTTTCAAGGTGGTTTATGTAAATCTCCTTGAGCCCTGAAGTCAGCATGATCCCTTTCTAAAAACTTTTTATTACTGCCTACTGCTTACAGAAAATCCGTAACTTCTTAAAATATTGAGTTCCTCCACAATCTAAGATCATGGTTGTTCATCATCTTCTTATACAACCTGCTTCAATCATGCCATGCTTCCTATTTTTCTCCTCTGCACCAAAATTAATATCTTCTCTCCAAAACAAGGTTGGTTTTTACATGGACTCTGAAATTCCATTTTCTCTACAAGTTTCTCCCAGACACTTCCATTCAAGATTTCTCATCTTGTTCTATGTCTCACTCACAAGCCTTAGTACAGTCTGTCTTGTACGGACCT